ACACCAGAAGGATGGTGTTATTTTGAATCCCCCCCACCACCACCCCCACCGCCACCGCCGCCGCCACCACCTCCTCCCCTTCCCCCTCCACCATTGCCACCGCCACTTCTACAGCCACCATCTCGTCATGCAATGCCACATCTGACAACCTCTCAGACTTGGTGGACCCCAACGATGTCTTTCGACGCTTCCACCAACACCACCACAACTTCGCCGCCTACACCGCTGTCAATCTTGCCATCTGAGTACTATTCCTAGCAGGAATGGTGCGTTTTTTTCTCCCTTTCTTTCATGCTCTCTATTGTTTGCACTGCCAAATTTTCGCTGTCAGCATTTTTGACAAAGGAGTGCAAGTTTTATTTCTTTTTATATTAAAAACGGCCTTGTTGAGAGGAATTAGACTGTGATTAATGCATAGCTAATGTCTCCCTATGTCATCCATTTTATAAACAGCTTTTTTTCCGATAACAACATTAGTGTACTTCCTCTTTAGGTTTCAAAAAAATAGGTAAAACCATTTCCCTTTTGTTCCGAAGAGGAATGGAGTATAAAATACACTAAATTATCACATAGAAAATCAAGTTACCTTACTTTGACCTTCACCAAAGCAACTCCCTTCAACACCTTTATGAAATATGCTTCAATTATTGCCACATCCTTTAAGATATTGTAATAGGAGTTATGGTAAGTTCTAACATCCTTTTTAGAAGGCAGTATTTTCTGTGTTTAGGCATTGAAATGCATTGTGAGATTAAAAAACAACTCTTCTGCCACTTCCCCCCAGGGTTAATCAAAGCACATGCTCAAAAGGCATTTTGCCAGCTATTACACACAGAACTGTCAGAAAGGCGTCAATGTACTTCTTATCAATCATTAAATAAGCCTTATACTAGACATGAGAGTGGTATCTTCATTTCCACTACATCCAGTTTTACTCCTTGTCGCCTCATGGCGTGGATGCTGACAGGTCTCAAGACAATCGATTGGGAGAGGCAGAGTCCTCCTCTGATTGGTGTGTACAGGCACGTACACAGACATGCGCACCCAGAGACTCGTGAAACGGATGTGTGATGGTAGGTGGATGGTGAGATGCAGGGGGATGTGGACGATGAAGGAGGGACACTAAGGGTAAGACAAGTTCCCCACTCGGCCACCTGTTGTCTCTCACGAGTCAACCGAGAGTGTCGCGTGCTTGACAAGGCGCATTTATCGGAAAATAGAGCGTTGGGAGGGGGGATTGGGACGGGATGGGGGGAGGGATGAGGAGGGGAGGTGGATAAGGGGAGAGGTAGGGTAGAAACGAACTAGCCTATCCTCTGAGGAGGACGAAAATAAACGGTTGTTTTATGCATAGCTGTTATTTTGAGTAGAAATAATACACGCGTTAAAATAGACAAATTTGTAGAGGACTTAAAGTTCATTCCACCCAACCACTGGATTCAACTTTTAACAAATCTGTTCTTAATGCTTTTTCACGATGTACACTACTGTTGCCTACTAAAATTTAGATGTTTGAGGTCCATTGTGCCAAGCATCCCAATTGAAAGCACTCCCAAAATATGTTGCTTCTTACGAAAGATTTTGCAGCAAACTCTCCACATCATATGATATATTACCTGGTAAGATGTAATGGCAAAAAGTTCACATGTCACATTTGTTGCCTTGCCCCCATTCTTTCTACACCGAGGCATATAATTCGTTCACTCTTCAGGAGAGAGAGAGAGCAAGGAAAAAAATGAACTTTTCGGTAGGGTCTCAAGTCACCGTGGCGTTTTTATTTCCTAAATAACAATAGGCAAAAACGAACAGCAAATAATTGTGCCACGTATTCTTATCTTGCCATAACTCGCACAAACATTCTGTATTCTTCAATAGAAATAGATGGTATTTTGTTTGTAACGTCTACTGTGGGTTAGAAGATTTATTAGGCATTGAAATCACCAACTAATGGGTGAGTAGTGTAATCAATTATGGAACAAAAAACGATCATTCTCTGTCCACGCCAGGCTCGAATTAAACTTGCCGCCTCCGTCCCACAAGGTACAGTTAAACAATTAATGCGAATCGCTCTGCTACTCAGCCATACCAAAAGGAAAGGGAGGAGAATCCAGGGCAGCCGGAGCCAATAGCATTGTAATTTTAGTTTTGCAAGCTTTTCATAAATAAATGGTAATACGAACTGCGAGGAACAATAAAGACTGACAGCCAAATTTACCTTGAGTATCTTTTGGCAGGACATTCCGACAATAAATCGGATTTTTTCCTATCTAGTGGCTGGATTGAAGCAATAAAATTTACAGGTGGTGCAAAGCACAAAACCTTGCCATGAACCTTGAAAACATTGCCGAAAAGGCATTTACAACTTGTGAGACCACTTTTAAATATTACATCATACGCTCTACTTAAAAGAAATGAGTAGAAAAATTTTAACACGATATTCGTTATTTGCAACAGCACCTAAATTTTAAAACATCAATTTTGTTTTAGGTTTAAGGAGTGCGCACTCGTTTATCGCCTGCCAGCCGACACATCCTCCAAACTTTTACAAATATAAATTCTTTTTAACTCTGTCAGTTGTTTATTTACTCACTTGGGAGAGAAAGGAGGCCACGGTAAGAGAAGGAAAAAAAACAGTTGGCAAAGGCACAAAACGTCAAGCGTCAAGGTCGTGAACATCGTAGACGGGCTGAAGAGGATGCCTTAGCGGTAGCGCTCCATATTGACGTTGCCGAAATCGAAATTTGTGTTTAGCATTCACAACGGGCCACATTTCTTGGAAGGACAAGAATGCAAGCATTCGTGGAGGCAAAGTCAACGACTTCAAAGCCTTGGCGTAGTCCATTGCTAAGTCTAAATATCGAAGCTTTAAAGTGTATTAAAGCTCACCACTATTTGCGAGGTTGTTCATAATCGCTCGCCGAATGACAACTCGACAACAAGATAGAAGGCTGAGTGGGTTGAGTTGCCCTGGCACCTCACAGGTTGCGTGATAGCGATGCCACAACCAGCATGAATATCTTACAGGAAAGTCAAAGGCTTTGTTTTGATCTTTCAAGCAAATTGCCTCCTCAGTGTCACCAATTGCAAGGCACTGGGTGCATCGATTAATCTCAGGTTCAGTCCAAGACTCCATCAGCAAATTCGGGGTACAATGAATTAATTCGAAGAGGAGGGTGATTTTATTAGTGGCAAATTCTGTATCAATTACATTCCCTTCACAAATTCCAACGATCTGAAAATGATTTACAAGCCATTCGCAAGGCACAAAACCGAAAGGACTAGGAAGGCTGAATAAAGATGACTTTTGTGGAGTTAATGCTGAATCATAGAAACAACCTTACAGCCCTAATGAAATGCTTGAGCCTGACGGTCAGTTAGGGGGCAACTCTCAGTGATACCATCGTAAAAAAAAAGCCCAAGTGTCATCTTTCAACCTCACAAAAGTGTCAACTGTTGCAATGCATACGGTCGGTCTAGTTGAAAGCGATACAGACAAAAAAATTCAACATACCCACCTGAATGAGTAGTACAAGGGAAAACAAATTACTGCCAAGTGTGCATGTCGCCTATTTCAAGAGTTTCAAAACACGCTTCAACAATCACACTAATTGCCCTTAAGATGAGAGCGCTGCTGTTTTGCCAACAATAATAAAAGTCTCAACCCACTAGAGACGGTGAGAGTGGAGTGATCGGAGGTCTTAGAAGGAGACTAGCAAGAGAGGGATTTGATGAGGCATCCTTGTAGACGTGAGTTGATGCCATTGCAAGAGGCCACACGACTGGAAGGTACGCGCCATGGTTGGACATCGCCAAGTCCAGTGAAGTAGCCCCAAGGATGTTGGTTCGCAGTGGATTCCACTTGTACGGCGCATTCACCAGCATATGAACGCAGAGACCCGCCAACTGACGAACAGCAAACTAAGAAGGAGTGTTTTCTTTTTTGTTTAAAAGTATGACCGCTCTATTTCCTTCCAAGAAGGAGGAGATAATAATTAATTATACCCCCTTCCCCTTCTTTCATGTTTATTGGCTCAAGACACCAAATGATGGGCTAATGAGGACAACACAATCTGCATCCCACCTTTTCCTTCTTTTAAAGGCAACTCTTCACAACATTTCAGTCG